GTCGGCCCCAGGTGAAATCAGGAAGTGTGAGAAGTTGATCTCGCAGCCCTCTGAACTCTGTGTGTCCTGCAGCACTTGCTCCTACAAGTCCAGCATTCCCACGATAGCCTGAATACTACCTGGAATTAGGACAACTATACATCACTTGGAATTTAGTGACTTAAATCTTTTTCATAGATTCTTTACATGGGAACAGGAAATCCCTGGCTAGGAAACTTTTCGATAGAGCAGAACGGAACACTTGGGTGATCAGTGTTTCTGGGCTCCTCAGGTCACCATGATTTTGCCTAATGCTGGATTCAGTAAAAACAAAGAATTATCACTATGTTGTTACCATGTTAGCAATTCATTTGATAGATTACCCCAAAGAGAAACTTTGCACGGTATGGCGGGAGTCTTGAATGTGCCTGTAATTGCTGTTGCTGTCTTTGCAGGGGTTGTGTTTCACTACAGGGCAGCGAGCAGCAGGTACACTCTGAATTTTGAGGCTGCACAGAAGGCTTGTTTGGATATTGGAGCGGTCATAGCAAGCCCGGAGCAGCTCTATGCTGCCTATGAAGATGGATTTGAGCAATGTGATGCAGGCTGGCTGGCTGATCAGACCGTTAGGTAAGACATCTGGGGGCCACAAGGTTTAATTCACCAACTGGGGAGTGAGAAAAAATAAGGTGCTACTTACTAGTCATTTATTTCTTTCCCCAGATATCCCATCCGAGCTCCCCGTGTGGGCTGTTACGGAGATATGATGGGGAAGGCAGGAGTCAGGACCTATGGATTCCGTTCTGCTCATGAAACTTATGATGTGTATTGTTATGTGGACCAGCTGGATGGTAAGAATTTCTTTAAGTTTCTATAGTTTCTTTTGACTAAGAAAATTGAGGAAATATTGGGAGCATGTTGGAAGAGAGACAGTCTTCGTGCTTGTTTGGATTCCAAACAGCAACATTTAGTTTAGGCGACGGTACGATTCTGTGGTGAAATAAGCCTAAATTAAAGTGGAAAGAGAAGGAGGAGTGTGTAAATGGTTAGGCAAGTGGGAAATGTCTTTAGTTAATGGCAGGTTTTCCTTCAGTCATGCTGCCATTGGACTGTTTCCAATACACTTTTGGAACATTAAGAATAGAAAGCTGTATGGGTGGTACCTATTCCGGGGAGCGCTTCAGGTAAAATCTTGTGATGACAAACCACTGTGAATCCAAGTGCTGATAAACACCCTACGGTGCAACTAAATAACAAACTAGCCCAGAAGGAACCATGTATCACTTCTCCTTACGTTCGCTTTGCTCACTCTAATATTCAGAGCAATCATTCATTCATTCAGCCAGTCAACACATAAACCCCCCACTGTCTCACAGGTACTCTACTAGTTGTTAGTGATAAGGAGCCATGTAAGATAGAGGCTTTGCTTTAAAGATGCTTAAAGTCTGACTTTGGCATTATTACTTCTCACTCAGAGTGAGTTAGAGACTCATAAAGGCAAGTTTGACATTCCCTGAAGGGCACAATACAGTTTTTATTGTAAGAGAAGTTTCTGTGACTTTTGAAATGCAGTTCTATTTGTATCAATAAGCATTTTAGAAGCTTAAGTATATAAGTAGAAGTATTAAGTTGAATTATACTTTTGATTTTGGCTGGGCACACATAAAAAGAATGATCTCAATATTCTTATGTATAAAATGAGGAGGTTGAATAATACAATTTCCATGGTCCCTTTCAACATTAAAATTATATGATTCTATGGTTCTGTGGATTGAATAAACAACTTCAGAGACTGAAAGTTAGAAAATAAGCAGCTTATATTTTCCTAATGCTCTGAAGAAATTTGAATAAGAAGGCTGGCTTACAACAAGGCTGCCTAAGTGTGGTTCTCTAGCATCTTAACATTCTTATTATAACTACACTTAAGACTGGTAAATGTATTTTCTAAACCAGAAGCTGAGATACTAACAGTTACCATTTTTGTGTAATGACAAAGAGAAAACGTACATAACCAAGCTCTTTCTCTCTCTCTTTTCCTTACTTTAAGTTTAATTGTAAGTTTATCTGAAGTTTAATTTACTTTCTCATGGAATAGGAGATGGTTGGCAGGAGAATCTGGCTCTAGGAAATAAATTTGGCTGTTGCTATTTCAGTAGGGTGGAAATTTGTATCCAGATTCAGTGAAGTGGAGTTTGTTTTACCACTGTTATTTTAATTTAGAATAATATCTATCATAGTGATAGTTATAAAAATTCCCAGAATGCTTGTAATACTGGAACTGAACCAAAGGTTGTTTTTGAAAAAGTATACATAAAAGCTAACTGCCAAAATATTTTTACCAAATGTAATTGAAACAGTGACTTTCAGGTATAAATCCATGGCCTGATCCAAATACGAACAGTCGTCACAGGGAGGCAGACTCCTTGAAGGAGAGACAGGCCTGTGTACTCACAACGCCACCAGAAGGAGCGCCAAGGGGACTCTCTCTCCTCTGTGTGTCTGTTCTTCAGTTTTATCTTGATGAACTACTGAAACCCTCTTCTCTCAGGCTACAGACTCCTGAAACTTCTCTCAAGCCCAGAGGACATTCTGCTTCTGCAGAAGTCCCAGAGTTTACATGCTCTCTGCAAATACTGTTTGATGTGCTTCTGACAGGTCTTGGTAGTAGAAGTCCTGCCAGGGATCCTGAGCCACCCTGTACCCACTGAACAGTGGCCGACCACATGCTGTTCAGAGGATCATAAATAGTGTGTGGGGAACACGGGGCTCTGTCAGAAGAGCAGATTCTTCTCTGTGTGTGTGCATACACTGCAATGAAGGGGATTTACTATATAGGAGTCATTTTCCAACTCCATAAACATTGTCATTTCTAAGGCAACTCTTTTTCATAACCAGTCTCTTCCCTAATGTAACCCAACTGTATTTTACAGTTAGCTGGAAGAAATGTTCCACATATTTGATGAGTGAAAACTTGTAATGTGTAATATAGCATAACTTCAGTTGAGTTTGAACCTTTTCATTTTAGCACATAAAAATTGGAAGAGAAAGGTAAAAGAATCAGTATAAATACTAATTCAAGCACTGAAATTTATGTCAGCAGAGTAACAGGCCTTTTGTTTCATAGAAAAAACTTGACAATTCTGGAGGATATTCGGTATGCATACAATGATACTGCTCTGGAACTTGTTTCCTACTTGTTAGTCATCCCTTGGAATAATTAGCAAATCTTTGGACACTGGTTTTTGCTTTCTTGATCTGCAATTGAACTGGTGGTGGTGGGTGGGTGTGTTAAAGAGAATTTTGTAACATGATGTTGAGAGGAAGATCACAGAATCTTCTTGTAAGATCTTTCTTTTTCTTTTATGGAAATGTATGTCCTTCCTTTGAAGTAAAAACCATTGTCTAAACCCTGACTTGATAAAAATTCTTGTAGGAAGTTGACTATCGAAAGTTACATCTGGTGTTTCAATTGTCACACTGATAAAAGATTATTTGAGGGTGGGCCAAAATTCCTCATAAGATATATTTATTGCTATATTCATGGGTATAATAGCTCCCACCTCTGTTTTATTGTTTTTTTTTTTGACAGCCAGTGTATGTGTATGTGAGAAGTGGTGGAGGCAGTAAAAATTAGAGATATTGATGTACTCAGAATGCATGAGATGGAATATGTATACAGTTATGAAACTAAGGTTCAATTACTTTAGATGAGAAACCATATTATTCCAGATGGTCTAATGAAAAATCCAATTAAATGTGAAGTGAAACCTAATTCATGAACACAGTTAATTTAAAAAATTTAGTTATTTATTATGAAAGATAGCTGATAGACTGTTGACCTGATTGTTTTTCTCTCTGCTTGTTTTATAATATCACGTCAAACCTAATGTGTTTCTTTATAAAACTCAAATAACTATACTTAATTAAATCCAGCTAGCTTGGGGGAGAGAAAAACTAATCTGGTTCTTATTCTAAGGTGGTGATTATAACACAATTATGCATATGAATATAATATTCAACTCAGTTTTTAAAATAATTCAGTATGTGTAAAAGAAAAATTACATTAGCTATATCTACTAGCAAACATTCTAGTATTAGTTTACGTTCTCAAATTGGTCCAGACTTTATGGTGGCTTGTTAGCCATGATTCAGTAATTTTAGTAACACTGTTACTAAGAAATTAATGGAATTTAGATTTGAAAGTAGGAACTTAGAAATTAGGATCTATAAAATAATCTTTATTAGACAATTAAATCTGTGTTGAGAGAGTTCCTTATTAGGAAATTTAATTCATGTTTCTGGTAAGATGGATTTGGAAAACCTTGAGAGGGTTTAGAATAGAGTTGAGATGATTAGATATTCAGAAAATTGGGTAAAGCATTGGAGTTATTTAGGAGTGGGAAAGAGAATTTCTGAGGGAGGACTCTTGGTAAGCAATAAAGTTTCTCATAATTAAGAATAAGAAGGACCTCAACTGAGTGCTAGCTGTTACTTTCTAGTTGTGAGATCTTTGATCTCCTCTCGTAGCTTCAGTTTCTTCTTCTGTGAAATGGGGACAGTAAGGGTACTGATTTTTTAATGGTGAGATGAGTTAATGTGTAAAGCTTTTATCATACCTGTGTGGCACAGAGTAAGTGCTCAATAAATAAAAGCTGTTATTGTACTTTATGGGTGTATAAAAGATTCTTTGCTTCCACAAATTTATAGAAAGAAGAGTTAAAACTGCAACTCTCAGAATTAGATTCAATAGCAAAATTTTTTTCTGACAATGAATATTATTAAATGTAGAAAGATTCCTGATAGACTATACAATTTCTTTTCTGCAAGTCTTTTAAAATTAGAATTTATCTGAGATGTTGTGAGTGCAATGCTCTGTCAAAGTTTGAGTCATGGTACTTTGCAAGATACAGAGAATAAGTGGAAATGCGTCACTTTACAGAGGGTAACTTATGTGTCAAGGCATTTTAAATATCAGTGCTTGGGCATTATTGAATAATTAAAAAGAATATTGTGGCAAACTAAAAATTCCTATATTATCCTTCCTAAGTTGTTTGAAATCAGTTTATTCTCTAATTAGAACATTATCTTCTTGAACCACAGTATTCAGGAATTAGGCTGGCCTCTTACTCCCCACAGAAGGTCATGGGCACATAAACTTGTCCACTTTGTAGGAGGAAGATTGAAATACTTCTGAAAATGCTTTGTGAATGAATACACAGAATGTGTATTTCTGTGCAGAAAACTGACAATTTAGTAGGAGATGATTGTGTCTACCTATACCCATAGCAAAAATAATTCCTAAATAAGATAAGTAAGGGAGTGTTGGAAAGAAGGGAATACCATGTAAATATTTCAGCTAAAAAAAACCCAGTCAAACATTTAAGGTATCTTTAAATTATTTTAACGAAATTAATTGATGATTGTTTATTTGTTGTCTGTATGGTAGCACATACTTGTAAGAATATAGTTTCCTTTATATGGGGGTTTCATTCTCCCTGCGGGTAAATTGGAGGGTGATAGGTGAGGTCTGAATGCTTTCTTTTGTGGTTGATCCTTTTAGTTTTAGGTGAGTTAATACTTGCAGTCTTGTCCCCACATCTGACAAATGACTGATCCAGAAGCTTCTTGCTCTTCACATAAACTTCTCAGCACTTGTAATATCTGCACCAAGGGCTCTCCCCATCTCATATCCCCTTTCTAAGTCCTAGCTGATCTCTCTCACTCTTACCATCTCCAAACCTTGAATGTATGACATACAATCATGACTACAACCTTCCTGCAAATGTTTTCTGACATCTCCCTCTCTCCTACAAGACTGTGGGTTCTGGGACGGGAGAAACCATGTGCTTCT